CCATATTTTTTCATTTTCTCGTCCGCTGCCCTGGCCGCGGCCAAACCGCATTCTTTACTTGTCAGGTTTACGTATCGTTCGGCGAGGGTGCCAGGGACCGTAACATCCCACGCCAAACATCTGCCGGCTCTCCAAGGCATTAGCGTGCATCCGTCCGGGCGCCTACCATCATGCGCAGAAATGCCGGATGGTTCCTTGAGAACCGGGATTGAAGCCTTGGAGAAGAGCCGACAAATGTAATCGTTTAGCGCTGAGTGACGTAGTTGACGGACCCCACCCAGGCGACAAACCAAACCGTGGTGCCCAAACTCGTCCGCCCCAGCGCCACATCGGCACGTGTATTTATTCTGAATGACCAGGCCAAGTCTGAAGCCAATGGCAAATCTCACAGACTCGTCGTCAAGCCTGGTGCCCACAGAGGTGTTAAGCCACGATCTCAACCACCCACAGCTGGCAACGCTGGACATGGCCAACAAACGAGCGGTGAAAAAGTCGTCGCCGCATGAAGACAACAAATTTTGAAAGATTTTTTTATATTCTTCGTTCAAAATTTGGACGTGCGTACGGTCCCCCGGGGCGGACACTGGGGGAAGAATATCGCGGCAACGAAAAAACCGGTGGAGCAGGGAAGACTGCAGGTCGAGAGTGGCAGCGGCAGAAGAATTATAAACAACGGGAGCCAGCTGAACCACGCTAAGCAACCCCAGCCCACCAAATCGCACCGGCAGCTGAGCCTGGGACCAACCACTGTCAGTCACTTGAACATTGCAAATCGACGACAGGGCGGTGCGCAGGGCTCCGTCAAATTCGCCCAATTTAGAAGGGTCAATGTGTTTAGATGTACGCAGGAAGTACATCAATTTGGGCAAACTGAGGGCATTGCGGATAATAGTCAAGGCATCATGGGCCGAAAGACAGGAAACACGACCCAGGGCGAATTTAAGCTCAGAGAGCTTTTGGTCAAAAAACTTTATTTGATAATCGCCCTCGACCAAGGGTGTGCCTAAAAAACTCAGTTCTAATGCACCAACTCTGGGTATTTCAGCCAGCGCATGTGGCACCTGAAATAAACTTTGGCAGTGAAGTTCGCATTTTTTAATGTTTAACTCTAAGCCAATTGCAGCGGAGTTATGCTTCAAATATTCGTAGCTATCGGCCAGAGTTGGACCGTCCGAAGCTATGCTGATATCATCCAGATAAGCGCAAACGAAAGTGGACGAAGCTTTCTCTAAGAGTGGATGAAGAGTTAGTGCGAACAACAAAGGACCAAGGGGATCACCCTGCTGTACCCCCTCGGATGATTCTACAACCCAAGAGTGGTAGCCAAGGGAAGAGACTCCGCCATAGGCAGAATGGCAAAAATTATAGATATTGGGGCAAAAAGGTTTGACAGCCTCCAACATCGAGTCTCTTCTCTAGGAATTGAAGGCATTTTTAAAGTCCAGTTTCAGAAACCCCCATTGATCGGGGAGGTCGGTGACCAATCTTCGAACCGCATGAACAGCGGCCTCAGCGCCACCCTTAATCCCGACACCCAACTGAGTCGGGTAGAACTTGGTCTTGAATTCGACCACGACCAGGGCCAAGGCACATTTGCCGGCCAACCTCCTCCAAACGTTCCCGACCGCAATCGGTCTGACCCCTCCGTCTTTCTTATTTAAAGCTATTAGCCGGCCTCCAAAAAAGAACCGGCGGACGGAGAGTGGGCAAGCTCCAGATAAGATCAAATTAATGAATTGGGTTAAGGAGTTCAGTGTGTCGTCGATTGGCAAGGGGCCTGAAAAAACATCCTTAAGGTGCTGGGGTCGTAGGCCATGCAGGCCTCCAGAAGAACCGTTTTTAAACGATTTAACGGCCCTCAGCACCTCGGCAGGAGAAACGCAACCAGCCGTTGGTGTCAATGCGGGAAAGAACCGCCTGTCCACCGGAATTTTTGGGTGGATGGAACATAATTTATCGAAGGTGGCCGGCGAGCTCTCCGCCAAGCCCTCCGGCGAACAGACAAGTCTGACAGCCGAGGACAGGTTTCCCTGTTCAATACAAGATGACACAGCGTTGATCCACCGATTGGGGTTGTGCTTTTGTGATTTGGCATTATTGAACCCATCAAAGCACAGTACCAGGGTTTCAAGACCAATAGTTGAATATTCGCTTAGACGCATGTTGACCAGATTGCCCTGGTTGACCCGGCGACCCCCTCTGGAAGTCTTCTGTAAGACGTATGGGACAAAACAGTGGAGTCTAACCCAGTGAGCCGGGTCACCAGGGTCATTACAAACAGCCGTCAGCAAGGCGTTCAGATCATGTGCGAACTTCTCCCTGCATGGCTTAGGGATATGGTCGTACACCGGTACACATTTCAGCACGGCCGTCAGCTTGTCAAAAACACCAGAGTAATCCAGGCCGAGAGGATCACCGGAGACCGATGCGGCCGACGACCGTGTGGGCAACCCAGGCTTGGGGTCGGGTGCGGCACCGAGAGGCGAAGCAGCCCTCGCGCCCGATGGATCAACTTTTTTCATTCTTGTCCTTTCACTTTACCTCCGTGCCGACATAACTTCCCGTCTGGAGTGCTTCTATAGTGGTTAAAGCAGACGGGGCACTGTTGTAACGTTGGAGCCATATGTGATTAAAAACAACCAAGAAACGAGGGAAAGGAAACAAACCAAGTGGGGTGGATGGATGAATGAATGGATGAACAAGCGAATGACCAAAGGAACGGGCCAGCGAACAAACGAATGAATGAGTGAATGATGGGGGAATGAATGAGCTAATTACTGAACGGACGAGTGAGGGAAAAAAAAGAATGAATGAGTGAGTGAATAAATAAATGAATGAATAAACAACCGAACGAATGGATGAATGAATGAATACATGAATGAATGAACGAGCGAACGGATGAGTGACTGAATTATCTTTAAATATTTAACCAGTATTTCAACTTTTATTTTAATTTTTTTTTTTCTTTTTTTTTTATTGATGAATGAATGAGTGAGTGAGCAAATGAGTGAATGAGTGAATACAAAAACCTAGGTAACAGTGTGGGAGGAGACAACTATTGCTGCAAACTTTGGCCCAATCTCTCCCTTATAGTTTATTTTTTTTTTTACACAGATTTTAAAAATTGGTTTAGGAAATTTTTTTTTTTTATAAATAAATTTTAATTTAAACTTTAAATTTTAATTTCAAAAATAAATTAAAAATAAATGTCGGTAGAAGGTAAATAAGTTAAAATGTAGTGAACTTTCCGATAATAATAAAAACAGCTCACACCTGGCGCAGGCCGGTGACCTGTAGCAGCTATGAGCTGTGAATAAATTATAATATTGATAAAAAAAAACGAGAAAATTGGCCGAGGCAGGGCAGAAAAACGATAAAAAATGACGGAAAAACAAACCCGGGACAAAATTACAGCCGATGAACCCAAAAATCATCTATAAAAACAATTTAAAATCTATGAATTTAGTATGTATGTATGTATGTATGTGTGTGTATGGTCCCTTTGTTGATAAAAGCTATGAGGAGAGCTAAAATCAATTTCAGGTTCCAATGTATATTTATGTTTGGGGTTCCTGCACAGAAAGGTACTTCGTTGCTCCCTCCATGATACAAAATGCTTTAAATCTTTGTAATAATATTGAAATGTATTGTTTTATGTAACGTTTATTTTCCGGATTGCCGGAAATCTCGACAACTTTTGCTATTAACTGATTAATAAATGTTTGTGTTTGCCCATCAGTTGGGCCAAATGTTTCAATGCATACTGGTGTAAACATTTTGGTGCTATCATTTAAAGTGGCATATTTTATTGTTTTTTGGTCAGACGCTTTTATCGCGGCGGTCCCAGCCTCCGTTGACATAAAACTGGTTTGTCTTTCGGCCATTTTGTGGGAAAAAGTTACGTCCCACGTCAAGGAGCGTCTCTGGCCCAAGGAACCACTGCATCTGTCAGGTCTGTAATTACCTTTTTCAAGCAGTCCGGCTGGCTCCTTTATTACCGGAATAGCAGCTCTTTGAAAAACTCTGACTAAAAGGTAAGGTGCAACCTCGGTAGAGCAGTCGCAGATTAATGAAGGCGGTAATGCCATTGATGAGGTCCAGAGAATCGTTTTTTGAGGAAGTCACATCTTTTAAATGTTCGGGGGTTAGGCCGCCTCTGCCACCCGAAGTACCTTTTGGAAACGACCTCAAGCATGTGAGAATTTGTTGAGATGTAACCGAGATACCCGAGTCTTCTTTAGGAGAGCTTGGAGCTCTGTCAATCGGTGTCTTTGGGTGTTTCTCAATTAGGAAGTTTACGGTATCTTCGGAAGCAGGAGCCATCGAGTCGGTCGAAGACAATAACTGCATAACGTTCTTCACATTGCCTGTGTGTGTATATATATGTTGGTAAAAGACCATAGTTAATGCATTAATTTATAAAAATTTACCGAATTTCTAGCGTTTGGATAGGTTTTGTTATATTTCTCGATATTTCTAACCACATTCTTGTCGTCATTATTTATTTTATTAAAATCAGAATAATATACAGTTTTCCAATTCATTCTAGAGTGTATAGGACCTATTTCGATTTTTCAATAATCCTCAGCGTTTGTTGCGGTTTATATAGAGAATTTGTATAACCTGGACCTTAGTTCATGTAATTAGCATTTATTGTCAGTGACTTTGTTAATTTTACTGTTATCCTTACTAATTGTCATCGTTTATTTGTTCGGGCTAATTGCTTCGGTGTATGTTTTATTGCTTCGGTGCTATGTTTCATTGTGCTAATTACTTCGGTGTTATATTTTATTGTGCTAATTTTATTGGTATCATTTACTTACTCTTTAATATAACTTTGATCGATTTTACTTTCTTCTTCTTACTTTCTTCTCATCGGTACCATTGGTGTTATCGGTATATTTTATTATTCTTGTCGGGAGTATTATCGAAATCTTCAGATGGGAATGTCTGGAATTACAGTACATTATTTTGACGTTGTCGTCCAGGTTTTCTCTTGCAGTTTCAATATTATTTGTGTGTTTTAGGTGTATTTCTATTGAACCTTCCCTAAGGTCGACTGTGCTGTTTCGCAGTGCGTGCACTAGCCGGGTTCGTTTCGATTATGACAAAAAGACCTATCACATGTTTCGTGTATGTTGCGCCGTTTATACGATGTTTGTGGCGTTTTGTTGATTCTCATGAACCTAGAAAAAGTGTAATAGACCTTTAACTTTTTTAACCGTTGACACTTAGTTAAATTGAAATAATGTTTAAACAGACATGTGACGTCAGAGATGCGCGGTATCAGTGACTAATTGAATAATGATTATGTATATATACAACACCGATCGTGTTACATTCATAACTGTCTCATATACATGACAACGGATTGCGTATCATAGTATTTATTTATTGTATAGTTATTTAGTAGCTGTTTAAATCCAGTTTACGAAATTTACTGATATTTTATTTAATAAAATATAAAAAAATCATTACACAAAATTATTTTAAAAATCAATCTCTCGGGATGCAAGTTTATTTTTAATTTGCAAAGTGTTCTCGTGTCATTTTCAGCCAATTAAAATTGGAATCGATTCTTATCAGTCTATTTTTGCTGCGGTTTTTTTGATAGAAATGAATGAATGGTCTTTATTTGTTATCTTTTGATGGTTGGTAAACAGTGACGGAGGCAATTTGGTCACATGACATAACCTACAAAAATTGAAAAATGGTTTAAATGAATGTGCAATTGACAACCTGTATTAAAAAACCAACTTCAAAAATGAATTCGTTGCATCCAAAACAATGTATTTCTCTAAAAAGTTGGTTATCATACATCCTGTTCCGAACGACGGGCTTTGTGTGTGGCGTGATTAAATACTTCATGACACTTGACCACTGATCATCAAAAAATGAAATTAAGTTCCAATAAGATCAGGACAGCAGAATATTAAATCAATCTGACATTAACTACATTAAAAGTGCATCAGAACACACCTTCGTGTCAAATGTTATAAAGTTGTTATTCAATACAAGCTCATCTGAATCAAAACTGCTTAGATTTCTTGAAACACTAAGTGGTATTTGGAAGTGGCATCTGTAATAACTATTGAGAAATGCAATTGAAGTGATTAATTATCAAAATCAGCATATGAATACTTGAAAAATAAAAAATTGACAATCAATTTTGAGTATAACACTACAGGAACAGGCTGCTCTACCAAGTTATATTTTTCTACAAGTTCCTCATTCTTCATTTCTGTCACACATGCTTAGTTTCGGTTTCGTGGCTCAAAGCCTATCTATTATTCACCATCTACTCATCGTGTGTTCCATCACCATCATATGTTCAAAACATTCAAATAACTTGTATATAATTCATAACAAACGTATTGTATGCTTTTCCATTTTAAAAAATACATAGTGACTTGAAGAACTTTTTGTTTAACATTTTCACTAATTAGCATAAAGTTAAAAATGGATCCAAGAAATAAATATGTTTTCTTGTACTACACTTACTTTAAAACAACTTGAGCAACACAATTTAATCAAACAAATATCCTACTTGCCATATGAGGTCTTTTCCCTTACTATGCATGCCCAGGCCTACACTTTTTTCAAATTCATTCCAAACATTTTTTTATATTGTGAATTACATAATAGTCAATGGTACATAAATATTTTAGAACTCAACACTGAAATAAATTAACAGACTTACATGTTGAAGTTAAAATGGTTTGGAAAGTTTGTATGCATGACCAATTTTTTAACAACATGAGTCCTGGCATCAAACAAGATGTCCTGCATTTTATAATTAAAGTTGTGTGTCTCTTACAAAAATAAAACATCAAAGTCATTGTTTTATTATAATAAAAGATCACAAGTGCAAAACAAACCACTCCGTAGTTCAAATAATTGAAGAAATAATCAGATGTGTTGTAGCACATGTTGTGTTTTTTGGGACAATGTATCTTCATTTTGTCATAATCCTTGTAATGCATGCGACTGGGCGATCCAATCTTTGATATCACATCCTGCAACCAAAGTGTGAGCATTCATCATTACGTACTAACAAAGTAACTATTTCAAACCAAATGACAACAAAATTGATAGTTGGCACAGTTATGATTGGTCAGTATATTTAAACTTCGATTTGTAATGACAACAACCACGGAACTCAAAATTTTTTGATAATTCACTTTTAATCTTTTATAGCAAAAAAATGCTGAAATCTAAATAAATTGAGTACAGTGCGACTATCCAAAAATAAAAACAGCGAAACACAAACTTGTGTGGTATCGCCAAAATTAATTTCTTGAAGAATGGTGGCATAATGGATGGATGAATATGGGGATGCCTCATCTGCAGCCTGCATCAATCGATCACCTTGCAATCATTTCATTACATTTCGTGGCTCAGAAAGATGAAAATATATTAAAAATATACGTTGCATTTATTTCCAGCATAATAATAATAACAATAATTAAATTTTGCTCTTTTGACATTTTTATTATCATTATATTTAAAAATAAATTTCATTCCAAATTGCTAATTCTCTTGTACCATTTATTTATCAAACATGCTATGTCTTAAAAACCGTTTCACAAGCAATGTTGGTATCAACAAATTTATCTATTAATTTCAAGTTTTCTTTCTGCTTAATATTTCTTAACAATAACAACTGAACATCTTTAAACAGAATAAACTTTAGTACATAAATGCATTTGAAATAAAAATAGGACAATTAAAAAATAAACAAACCATCACTAATCAAATAGAATTGAAAAGTGAAACTATCTGACTGTTTGTTGTGAAGCACCAACAACTTTTCAAGATACAATCCAGCGTAAAAACACGACGACGGTATGGAAGGAACTCTGTTTATGAGATGTCAATCATTAAACCTAGCTAATAAATGTTGAGCGGCAAAGATTATTGCAGTTAAAGTGGCGGCAAAATAAGGTGAGAAACAAATTAATAAAATATATTTCAAAAATGTAAAAACAAAATAATAAATATATATCAAAATGTATAAGTCTAACATGGCGTCAGTTAAAGATTGACCAGAGTAAATGAAGAGACTTGTGACAACTGGAGATGTCTGTGTAGGATATTCAACGCAACCAAACTTCTCAACGTGAATTGTCTATCAAATAAATCAAAGTATCAACTTTTCAGCAAACTCGTGACTACTACAATAATATTATTATCATTAGAATAATTGTTCTAGTTGTAGTTGTTAAAAATAACAACAATCGTAAATAACTATTTTATAATTACATCCATTATATAATTTATGTTTATATTAATACAGTTAAATTAAAACAATAACGTTTCCTTTCCTTATTCTTACCATACAGTTAAATGTATGTAATTAACACACCGCTATATTGCATTGACAGAAACTAAATATGGCAAATTAAAAAAATCAGCAATGAACAAAATGAGTGAACCTCGTAACTTGATCCGTCGAGTATTTTGAAAATAAATGTCAGTCCTCTGAAATTCAAACTGAAAATTGTCTTATCTGCATTGTATTCTGTGGTGTTTATATATGCTGATATCAATATATAAATGAATTAATCATATACCACATGCATATTTTATTGGCCGATTATTTTTAAATGACAGCAACAGGTTATAGAATAAAGATTACAAATTTCGAGAAATATAGATATTAGTAAATCAGGTTGTAGAATGTTAATTTTAACAGATGAGGACGATTCCGACACTCTGCAGCATAGAAGTTACTTGCAGTTGGTAGGTTGGGTACGGATGTTACTTGGAGTTCGAAGTTTTGGTGCAGATGTTAATTGCTGTTGGAAGGTTAGGTACAGATGGTTACTTGCTGTAAGAAGGTTAGGTAGAGAAATTACTTGCTGTTGGAAGGCTAGGTACAGATGTTACTTGCTGTTGGAAGGTTAGGTAGAGAAGTTATTTACTGTTGGAAGGTTAGGTAAACAACAGAAATATTGGCTAGTTCAGCTAACAAATCATAAAATGAACAATGCAGCATGAACATTAGCAATAACGGATCTAGACAACTTTAGCGGGGGTCTAAAGTTTGGGAAATTTTTGAAAATGTTTCAATGTTGACCAGGGACCAACATTTGTAGCTGACGACCTTTTTTGTTTATCACGTCATTTTATCTTCAAAAAACGCACTTTTTCGGTTAAAACAATGACTTTTGCTGACTTTTAATAGAAAAACTGATCACAACGGAGGGGCACTAGGCCCCCGGTCTCCTAGATCCGCCACTGAACGTTAGCAATGTATTAACAATAAACAAAATGAAATTAAATAGCATGATTGGAAAATATTACTAGCGGGATGAGTCGCTCCAAAACAGTTATCAATTTGTGTAATGGTAGGTAATGTAGATGGAGAGTTAAAGTACTCATTTCTGTTGAGTTCACAAAATTTGTTATTAACGACATTAACAACTTTTAACAACCTTTCACAACTACATTCAACTTTTTTTTTACAATTTTGGTTGCATTATGTACATAATGTTTTAATTTGATACATCACATGAATGTGTATGGTGAATAAGTATCACTTGAAGAATTGCATGAAATATGATCACCGAAATGAATAAAAAAATATCCTTCAGGGATAAGCACAATAGATACAAAAATTTATTTATTTTGTTCACAATGCTATTATTCATTGGTATTGTTGAAAAAATAAAATAATACCAAAAAAGGAAAAAACTTACAAATATTTCAGCTTAATTTTAGACATATCATATACTTCTATGACCTGCATTAATGATAGAAAAATTACAATAAAAAAATAGCACATTTGAAACAAAACTTATGAATCAGTGTGCCGAATAATGAAAAAAAGTACAAAAAGCTAAAAAGAATGCAGAGCCAGGCGAGGGCATGGGATTCCAATGAAAAAAAGTAAATAAGGAGACACACGAAAGCCAACAAGCAGCACTAATTTTTATGTCATGTTTGAGTGACTCATTGGCTACAATAAGCCACTGAATCACTTAAATCCTTATTGTGTGGTGAATCAACGTAGATATTTTAGATTTTTTGCTAAGTGAAGGACTTAAACACATAAAAAACAAAACGCATATTTATATGTTCAATTTTGAAAATTGAAGAAATCACAGGAAAAGCCAACCTCAAGCAGGTTGCCAACTAAGGAAAGATTTTAGAACAGTTTTTAGTGAACATCGGAGTGATAATTGATTTGTTGACAATGAGGGTTACATTTTTCTTTCAAAAGTTAGTTTAATTAATAACCGAATAATCGGTTTAGATGGTTTTTAATAAATTCACCACTAAAACTAATAAAGTTGTAAATAATTAACACACCTTCAATCTTTGCAGATAAGAGTCAAAATGAAGCCTGATACAATCTTGTGCTAAATCGAGTACAATATCATTTGCAAGTGCATTCTGTTGAATAAACAATTTATTGAACATAATCAAGCCTAATATTATTCCATTATAGTGTACATTTCTGTTCTGCCCTTGTTCACCTCTTATTATTCTCAACACATCTTTATTTCTGTTCCAGTTGTCTTCTACATTTTCATTTAATCATGTTTACCACATTTTTATACAATATTTTGAGACATTATTTATTTTCGAGCATCCTTAGCCTACAAGGGACCTGTTAGACAGTTTCAAAATTTATGATGTTGATATATTTTTTTAAAATTATGATCTTTCATAAATGTCTTCTGCCAACTCAAATTTGCCTTCAGCCATTTAACTACTCTCAATCATAAATTCAGTAACCAAAAGCAAATGTTGATGTTGTGGATGTAGTTAGGGACATATTGAGAATAAAAATTAACAATTGTAAACAGCTGATGAAATAGAAAAACATATTTAATGATTTATCAAAACTTTACAAGCACTTAACAATTATAAATGTGTAATAATAAGTTAACAACAAATGAACAACATATGATGCTGACGTGTTGGTTATACATTAGTTGAATATTCTTTAATAGATCATCTTGAGATTTGATCAACGCAATGGCTTGATATAGTGGCATGCCTGGTAATAATAATTAGAAATTATTTTAGATACAACAACAAGGAATCGTGTTGAAATAAATTATTACATTGTTATTATATTATCAATATGTTGATACCTCTCAAAAATGCAAAATTTAAAATAAGAACCAAAATCTATTACACTGTAAATATGATTTAGCGTAAAAATCAATTGAAGGATACTCTTAAGGTGACCCAAAGAAATCTTTTTAGATAAGAAATGTTTAAGAATTTGCTAAAATTTGGGATAATTATGGCGCAAAATACTAAGGTTGAAATTTTCGTCACATAGAGATAAAAAAAGAAATAAATTTTTAACACAATAAAAACTATAACATTTGTTTTTTGCTGAGTATTACAATTAAGCATATGAAAATCCAATGGGTCTAGATATGAACACAAAAAATATGAACATGAAAATTCAACAAATCTAGATAAGAAACAAAATTTTAACACCTTAACAATTTTTAATGCCCATAACTGGAAGCATTGACAACGTCATGTCATGCACTTCAAGCCACTACAAATATTTTTCACCTTCTTGATTACTTTCCCAACATATTATTGAGCTTAGATTTCGGTAAAGTTTATACACATATTAGTCTTTAGGTAATGTAATGAAAAAAACCAAGGGCGTTTGGTTTTGGCCGAAATGTAAATAATATTTTTGTTTGCTCTTTTATAATGCTTGGCATTTTTATTATTTGCGATAGTTTTATTTAATTGAACATTTATATTTCTGTCAACATTGTATGATTATTTGTATATCTTATTCACCCATTCTTTTTCATTTTTGCTTAGTTCTAGTTTTGTTCATAAGCTTATCTATTAAGTTTATTTCACATACAAATAAATTTTTCTGGCAATATATTACGAATTGTTTAATATTTTTTTATAATCATATTGTAATAAACTTAAATGCAAATAAAGTCATTGAAAACTGGATGAAATTAGTTTATAACTCAATTATCTCATATTTATAGCATTTTTTACCAATTAGTAAGTAACAATTTGCAGTATCAAAAATTTACCTAAAAAACGTTGTTATTGCTTTTTCTGGTTGAAATTACAATCACAAATTGATTTAAAATCAAAAACAAATATGAACAAATGAAACCATGATTTTAAATCATCTGAATTCGAATTTTACTCAACTGCAAATATATTGTAACTACATAATTACATTATTACAATTGTAACTACATTATTGTAACTACATTATTGTAAAATTGTAACTACATTATTGTCACTTGTTTCTAGCATGGAGTAACCATATCCCATCATTAGTTGACCTTGAACGAATCAGTTGTATAATGCACATGGTGCAGAGAAAACTTTGAACACTTTTTGTACACCTTGTGCATGGCGTGGAAAAATTGTCAAAAAATTTGTGTATTGTGCACAGTGCAACAGACTGCTGACATTATTTATATACAAATTGATCCTAAGTTTACTTTTGAACGATTTATCTTAAGTTTTATTAAATGATTAGCCATCAGACATTCAATGTAGTGCTTCTGAAGTTCACTTAAAATCAATAAGTGAATTTTATTAGTCAGATCAGGTTTCATGCGTTTGCTGAAGATAGAAGTTAGGGTTACGTCTAAAATAAATACTAGGAAATATTTTTGTTACTTTGTCCACGGTAAATACCCCATGTATTCAGGAAAACATACTAGGTCTGCAACAAAATACCACCACATGGTTTTTTTTACTTAGTACCAAAAATTGGTTGATTGTTATGCGGAAGTGGCGGCAGAACATATAAAAGCGAGTAGGGTGATAGGAATTGAAGTTATGATGAGAATTGCTAACAGTATGTATGATGATGAAGGTATACCTGAGGATTGGCGACACAGTGTGTTGGTGCCGTTGTATAAGGGCAAAGGAGATGTGAGAGATTGTGGGCCATATAGAGGTGTGAAATTGCTAGAGCACGGAATGAAGGTAGTGGAGAGGGTGCTTGAGAGGAGGTTGAGAAATATGGTGACAGTTAAGAAATGCAGTGTGGGTTTATGCCTGGTAGGGGAACGGTAGATGCGTTGTTCATGGTGATAATGTTGCAGGAGAATTATAGAAAGAAGAAACGAAGATTGTACATGTGCTTTGTGGATCTAGAAAAGGCTTTTGATTGAGTACCGAGGAAGGTCATTGAATGGGCGTTGAGGATGAAAGGAGTGAATGAGAGACTTGTTAAAGCTGTGATGCAGCTGTATGAAGGGGCAAAGACAAAGGTGAGGGTTGGAAGGGGGATGTCGGACGCTTTTAATGTTAAGGTAGGAGTGCATCAAGGATCAGTGTTATCACCGTTTCTGTTTGCAATTGTGATGGATGTTGTGTGTGGAAACATAATGGAGAGGTTTTTATTTGAGATTTTGTATGCAGATAATTTAGTCTTGATGGCTGATATCATAGAAGAATTGCAGTTTAAATTTGACAGATGGAAAAGTGTTATTGAAAAGAAAGGGTTATAAGTTAATATTGGTAAGACGAAGGTAATGGTGAGTGGGGAAGGTGGGAAGCGAGTGATAAGTAAAATAAACCCCTGGGGGATATGTGGCAGGAGAGTGAAGGCTAACTCGGTATTGTGTATAGGATGTTAGAAGTGGGTGCATAAGAGATGTAGTGGTGTGAGGGGGGCACTGAAAAAAGTGGAAGACACGTTCAAATGTAAGAAATGTGTTCATGGTGATTAATAGGACGGACGCAAGGACGGAGTTGAGTGGTGGTATTGAAAGAGTGGAAAGCTTTGTTTATTTAGGGGTTAAGCTGAACGCGGATGGAAGATGTTTGAGCGCTGTTACGGCTAGAGTTCGTGTGGGATGGATGAAATTTAGGAAACTTGGTGGGGTATTGTGCGGAAAGAAATGGTCAGTGAAGATGAAAGGGAGGGTAAATAAAGCATGTGTGAGAGCAGCGATAGTATATGGTGATGAAATTTGGGTGTTGAGGAGAGAGGAGGAAAGTGTACAACAGAGGACTGAAAGAGCTATGGTGAGGATGATGTGTGGGGTTAAAGTAAAGGATAGGAGGAGGAGTACAGAGCTGATGTCGATGATGGGACTGAATGAGGACATTGTGACATAGATAAGGAGATCGAGATTGCCGTGGCATAGACATATGTTGAGAAGGGATGAAAGGGTCGGGATTAGGCGAGCGTTGGAGTTCGAGGTTGAAGGAGTGATAAGAAGGGGTCGTCCGCGATTGAGATTGAGAGAGCAAGTGAAGAAGGACAAAGTGAAAGCGGGGCTGCGTGATACTGAGGCGAGTGACAGATGTGAATGGCGTCGAGGAGAATTTCGGTTTCATCATAGGCAACCAAACGGCAACCCTGATCTCGGGGAAAATGTCGTCTAAACGTGTTTGTTGTTATGCGAAGATTGTTGTTGTAGTTATTAGCCAAGCAGAAGCTTTTGTTGGTTTTGACCAAAGATGATATGGCTGAAGTTCTGTTGGGACAGTTTAAAACATGTTGAACATTAGGACTGTTGTTAGATGCCGAACAGATGTTTGAGATGTGTGGGTTGATTCAGTTCTGGAAGTCATTGAGAAGTGACAATTGTCTGATCTTAATTGTGCTAATAATCTTCTTGTCTTTCTAGGTAGTGTTTGATCTAGTGAATTGATAAAATGAGTTTGTGTATAGTTATATCTTCCATTGAGTAAAATTGGAGGAGTGTATTTGTTATTTGATATTGCTTCTCTGACTGAGCTGGGGTGAAATTGTTTAACTGCTTGGCGAGTGGTCTCACTGGTCATTTTGGCGGATAGGGTTAAGGTATTTAGATTGGAGGGTGTTCTTGATTTGTAGTTTACTAATAGGTTTGGAGGTTGTACATGTGTTTTGTGGATCTAGAAAAGGCTTTTGATCGAGTACCGAGGAAGGTCATTGAATGGGCGTTGAGGAAGAAAGGGGTGAATGAGAGACTTGTTAAAGCTGTGGTGCAGCTGTATGAAGGGGCAAAGACAAAGGTGAGGGTTGGAAGGGGGATGTCGGACGCTTTTAGTGTTAAGGTAGGAGTGCATCAAGGATCAGTGTTATCACCGTTTCTGTTTGCAATTGTGATGGATGTTGTGTGTGGAAACATAATGGAGAGGTTTTTATTTGAGATTTTGTATGCAGATGATTTAGTCTTGATGGCTGATATCATAGAAGAATTGAAGTTAAAATTTGACAGATGGAAAAGTGTTATTGAAAAGAAAGGGTTAAAAGTTAATATTGGTAAGACGAAGGTAATGGTGAGTGGGGAAGGTGGGGAGCGAGTGATAAGTAGAATAGACCCCTGTGGGGTATGTGACAGGAGAGTGAAGGCTAACTCGGTATTGTGTATAGGATGTTAGAAATGGGTGCATAAGAGATGTAGTGGTGTGAGGGGGGCACTGAAAAAGGTTGAAGGCACGTTCAAATGTAAGAAATGTGTTCATGGTGTGATTAATAGGACGGACGCAAGGACGGGGTTGAGTGGTGGTATTGAAAGAGTGGAAAGCTTTGTTTACTTAGGGGATAAGCTGAACGCGGATGGAGGATGTTTGAGCGCAGTTACGGCTAGAGTTCGTGTAAGATGGATGAAATTTAGGGAACTGGGTGGGGTATTGTGTGGAAAGAAATGGTCAGTGAAGATGAAAGGGAGGGTATATAAAGCATGTGTGAGAGCAGCGATGGTATATGGTGGTGAAACTTGGGTGTTAAGGAGAGAGAAGGAAAGTGTACTGCAGAGGGCTGAAAGAGCTATGGTGAGGATGATGTGTGGGGTTAGTGAAGGATAGGAGGAGTAGTACAGAGCTGATGTCAATGATGGGACTGAATGAGGACATTGTGACATTGATAAGGAGATCGAGATTGCGGTGGTATGGACATGTGTTGAGAAGGGATGAAAGGGTCGGGATTAGGCGAGCGTTGGAGTTCGAGGTTGAAGGAGTGGTAGGAAGGGGTCGTCCGCGATTGGGATGGAGAGAGCAGGTGGAGATGGACAGGGTGAAAGCGGGGTTGCGTGATACTGAGGCGAGTGACAGATGTGGATGGCGTCGAGGGGTATTTCGGTTTCATCATAGGTAGTCAAACGGCAACCCCCGATCTCGGGGAAAATATCGTCTAAACGTGTGTTGTTGTTGTTGTTGCAGTTAAAGTTATCAATTCAGAAGTTGAGATGGGGTGAAAATCAATAGAATCAGATAGAGAGCGGCTTATGAATGAAATCGGATTAGTTGAAACAGCAGGAAAAGTAGAAAGAAGTTGGAGAAGGTGGAGAAGGACAGGGTGAAAGAGGGATTGCGTGATACTAAGGAGATCCTGATTGCGGTGGTATGGACATGTGTTGAGAAGGGATGAAAGGGTCGGGATTAGGCGAGCGTTGGAGTTCGAGGTTGAAGGAGTGGTAGGAATGGGTCGTCCGCGATTGGGATGGAGAGAGCAGGTGGATAAGGACATAGTGAAAGCGGGTTTGCGTGATACTGAGGCGAGTGACAGATGTGAATGGCGTCGAGGGGTATTTCAGTTTCATCATAGGTAGCCAAACAGCAACCCCGATCTCGGGGAAAATGTCGTCTAAATATGTGTTGTTGTTGATAAGTTTGGAGGTGATGTGGCAAGGATGAGTTCGGTCTTGACATTGGATTAACAATTGTGATGAAAAAAAATTGGTATGTTGGATGATGGAGAAGATTTTCCATTTGCATTTGTAAAGATGCTCTTGTGAAGTGATGTTGTGGCAGCCTGTTGCAATTCGAAGAGCGTAGTTTTGAATTGTTTGTAGCTTTTGAAGGTTTGTTTTTGAAGAATATGGACACCAGACTGGGCAAACATATTCTATCCCTGGTGTGGATATTGTTTTATACGTTTGTATCAGTGTTTCTTTATTCTGACCCAAGTCTATTCCAAATAGTAGTTTGAGAATATTATTTCTTTTGGCTGCTTTTTTTATTGAAATTTAATGATGTGGAGAAAAGGTGAACATTGTATCAAACATTAGACAGGGGATTTTAGAGCCTGGAGCAGCAGCTTCTGTAGCAACAAACAGCCTTCAAGCAGTGAAACCGACTGTCAATTCCGACAGCAAACTGTTGCAACATAACTCCAAAAGTTGAACGGTCACTTAGATGGAAATTACTGCTGCATGTAGAGTAAAATTAACTTCATCAGCAGTAAATGCCATACCTTCTCTGGCAATACATCCTAGGCGAATAGTCATAGTTAAGTCTGAGAAAAGAAAAATAGTTTTTTTAACAAAATTTAAAAATTTGAAAAATTTTAAGTTTTTTAAGTTATATTTATAGGTATAATGTTACAAGTGAGCGATGTACATGAGCTCCGGGATTAAAAGTAAGCAATGTCTATTTAAAAACATCTAAGTGTCTCGTTACACATTGATTTAAGGTTAGTGCTATAAGGTGTGCGGAATCGCACGGCGAATACGCCGTTGAGATAAGGCGTGAAAAATCCGCACGGCGAATTAAACGTGTTAATGCTATAAAGCGTGAAGCCACACGGCGAATTCGACGTTGCTTGCTATAAGGCGTGCAATTCGCGGGTGAATACGACGCTTGAAATTATAAATTGAGGCATCCGCACGTCGAATTTGACGTTGAGATGCTATAAGGCGTGCGAATCACGGGCGGGCGAATACGTTTGAACGGTGTAAAGCGTGAGAATCGCACGACGAATTCGACGTTAAGATGGAAATAGAAAATAACCCGCACGCCGATAAGGCGTGCGAATACGACGTTTAGACGTTTGAAATCATAAACCTTGAGAAACCGCACGTCAAATTCGACTTTGAGATGCTATAAAGCGTGCGTATCACGAACGGGCGATTACGACGTTCGAAATTATAAATCGTAAGGAACCCGCACGTATAAATGCTTTAAGGCGTGCGAATCACGAACGGGCGATTACGACGTTCAAAATTATAAATCGTAAGGAACCCGCACGTCGAAATGCTTTAAGGCGTGCGAATCATGAGCGGGCGAATACGACGTTTAGACGGTGAAAAGCGTGAGAATCGCACAACGAATTCGACGTTGAGTGACAGAAGTCTGTACAACAGAGTTGACGCTATTTGACGATACAGGACGCAGTCAAAGCGCAAAATTTGACGTTTATTCGTTTATTAAGACAATATAAAGCATTTTTGTTATAGAATGACAATTTTTAAAATGAAAAATTTATTGCATCAATTGTCATATAGTAACACACACAGACAAATACACATATTTACACAGTAATGCACACGGGTACATTGTTCATGTGTTAAGACGAAACAGTTACCAAAAGACCCAAGATTGTTATATCAACACTGTCGACAAAACCATGTTTCTTTCGGTAGCCTTTTCATTTCAACACATAAACAGTGGTACCAGTTTATGCACTCCAGAAGTACGAGTTTGGTTGTCTCTTCCAGAGTGATGTCCACAAACAACACAAACATACAAATTTTGTCCAATTGACCACATCTTATTTTCTAATTTTGTCCATGCTTCATTTGAAAAATATTGTTTCAAGGTGGACATATTAGCACGGTCATCTGTGCATCTTGGATCAATTATTTCTTTAACGTCGTTAATTGATGCTATGCAATCCGTTTGAACACAGTTTTTGGCTGTTTCTTCAGATAAAACCCATGAGAGTCTGAGTTGATCTTGCGCAGACGGACGCAAATTTTCAAATGTAAGTTTGGTTATAGAAACAATTGTTGTTTCCTTTTTGCTGAACGTCCTTTGCGCTTGATAGCAACAGGATACAAAATGTTTGAATTGGCAGCTTGCCCATTTTCTTCTGGCGCAGTAACCTGTAAGTTATCAGCAATATCATCTTCTATGATTACTGGTTGACTGCCACTGGCCACATGATCTGCAACATCCTCCTGTTCACTGCTGCTTGATACGTCAGCTTCAACAGCCTGGTAAAATTTTAATATCGTAATTTTTTAATTTAATTAATTATTATTGTCATATAGTTTTAACTACTTGCATATTGTTTTTGACACTGTGATATACAATGTACTGTTGCAGACTAATTGGATTTGTTAGTGTGATTTGTAATGTACTTTTTTGATTTTCAATCTACCAAATAAATTGATAAAACAAACATACCAACCAACCTCAATCTCAACAACTGAAGGAATGTCTTGTAAAAAAGGACTTTTTTCCCATGACCCATCTTTTGCCTTAGCCTCGACATCCTTCAACCAGGCCAACGCTTTTAAAAATTTGCTTTCTGGCAACTCTGAAAGTACAGATGCAAATTTGCAGATGGTTAAACATTTCCATAGTGCTTACAGACCCACCTAATGCAATAACAAATATACAAAAATTAACATTGAATAAAAATTTTAAATATTCATAATTAAACTTAGAGCTTGAAAATATTTTATAAATATAAAAACAACCTCTGACTGTGTTGCATATCTGGATCAAGATCAACAATTTTGGCGCTTTCCAGAATACATTTTTTGTTAAAATTTTCTACTTTTTTTTTTTTTTTAGTGTCAACCTTCATTGGATGGTAGTTATCTTTAAAAAAAAACTTTCTATCACATTTAATTAAATTAGATCAAACAAAACAATAAAAATCAAGCAAATCTTCAAAAGCCTCGCCGCTTACTACTGAAGGAAGAAGGAAAATGAACTCTTACCAAAGATAATAAATAATAGCATTACGACGCGCAAATAAAAATTTATTTAAAAAAAATTTTTTTAATTTATTTTTAATTGTAAGTTACAGAAATTTTTACAAATACTTTTTAAAATAATATTCGGTATAAAAAAATTTTTTAATATATATTTCATATGCACGCTTTATAGCAGTCTAACAAGTTCATGGTCGGCGTGCGTAGATTTAATTTAATTTTTCCATGAAATTTTTTCAATGATGTTTTTGAGAATTTTTTAGTTAAACTACCGATGTTTTGCAAATATCATTATATTGTTTGCCTCTTTAATCAAAGTTATGATTAATTTACCAAAAACATTACCATGTCATTAGCAGTTCAACAGTTCAGCAGCAATATTTATCGTGGATGGAGATTTATTATATATTATGTACTTTACTCTGCGTGACACATTATAAACACCAATAAACTAACAAATATTAATGGAAATGGAAATTTTTAATTCACTTAAAATTTAATAAAAGTCTGTATGGTAAAAGTTTTTTCATTTTTTTTTGTGTTATGGATTATATATGCCATGTTTCGTTTTGCTGGTACAGTAGAAAACAGTGGATTGCGTGATGCCATCTTACAATTTTACTAATTTATGCTCTGTTTAGTATTAGTTTTAGAGTGTTTTGTTGTTTAATTAATTAACATTAATAATAATTAATTAATCATAACAACTATTATACTTAAATTATAGGATAGGTTACTAGAGAGAGGTTTCTGCTGTAACAATTATTAAACAATTATAACTTATAAGAAACAAAGTTACAGTCACAACGAATGAAATTTTTAATTCCCTTAAAATTTAATAAAAGTTTTTCTTAAATTGAGTAAATCAAATCTAAATGAAAATAAATAAAATTTAAAAAACAAAAGAAAAAATTAATTTTAAAATTTTACATAAAATTACAAAATAAAATAAATTATAAAAAATAAAATAACCTAAAATAAACTCCCAATATTCATTTCCCAGAGATCTGGCGGGTTGAACGTCTAGGTCGAGCATTTCGTGGCAGAAGAACGTCGAACGGCGAACAAAGGATGAACACCTGATCAGGTCAGATCTATGAGCTTTTGTTGCAATAACTGAACAGAACGACATTACAATTTCAATGAATAAACATTTTTTTATGGAAAACTAAAACATAGATTAAAATGTCCAACTCCCTGTTATCGCTTTCTTAGAAAATACATCTAACGAAAGTATTGATACAAATGAACAAATAAAAAAAATAATCGGGACCAAAATCTTGAAGAACGCAAAACTACAACTTGAGAAATAATCAAGAATAACTAGTATTTCTTGTATGTAATGTAAAGAAATTTCATTGAGATGATGTTATTGATTTCCTGCAAATAAGTGGAATAAATGTGCTGACATGCTTAATAAGTGGAATAATGAAACAAATAACAAGACAACAAACACCTATGACGCACCTTCAACAATGTTCAGTGTTCGTCGAAAAGAAAGATGAATCTAAAATGAAAAACCCGAAAGTGGCGAGAGAATGAAAATTTAATGAAAAGAAAGAAGTAGTTCCAAATAATGACTTATTCAAACGAGTCTGATTGTTTATCAAAAAATGCAATGTTTATCACAATAGTGATATCATAAATAAAGAATTTAATTTATTCAAAACTAAACAATCAAATAAAAACTAATTTACTAAATATAAATCTTTACCAGACAATCAATTATGGAAAGAAACAATTCATCACCAATTACCAAATTTCATTTTACTGCTTACTAACTACAGGTAGGTTGGTAGGTGGTGGCAGGTAGATAGAATTCATTAGTGAATAAGAATTAGCTGGACGTCGTTCTGGACGAGCGAATGCGTTGAAGCTGGAGGCATGTAGCTGAAGCCGATTTACTTTACTGATTGTTCTGTAGGTAGATTGCATAAAAAGCAGGTCGGTAAATGCTAACACGGGTAAGGAAAAACGATTCGAAAGTTTTGTCGTTTGGTGGATGGGAGGGCAGGCAGTTGTAGTTCTTATAACGGTTTTACTAAATGTTTTTTGGTCTTTTATAACGTAGCAGTCCAATATCCGACATTAGGAGGAACTGGCATAGCGTCTGTGGAGCATGTCCAAAGTGATGACTATGTTTTTTTAGATATTTACTGTTAGGTTATAAGGGTTTCTTAGATTTTGCCAATTTTTAACGTATGTTATGTTATTATTCAATGACCTTACCATTTAAAATAAATATGTAAATTTTAATTAGATGACAAAGCAGTGTTTACTTTACACTGTTATACAATGTTATAATGTTATATAGTTACGAGCTATCTTTAGGAACTAACTGTGTGTAGGTAGATTTACTTTTTGTGGCTTTGTATCTTTTGCGCGCGCTTTCGATTTTTTAACGTTTTTTCGACGTTGTGCGACCTGCCTTACTTATTATTGACGCCTTAATAATAACTTCAATAACAATGAAGAACAAAGGAAAGACAACAACAAATATGAAAAAAAACTACACCACCTAATAAACTTTGCTAAAGAACTTTGCTTTGTTTAACGAAACTTCATAGACCAAACCTGCACCGAAGATGAGGCCTTATCTGCATGATAAGTTTAGATAACAAGTTTCATTAAATTTTCATAATGAGCTTGCATAATTTAATTTTCAACAGATTGAACAATTTCCAGAAAATCCTAGGAAAGAAAATTGAAAAAACAAACTTTAAACTGATTAATGCCAACAATTCGGTACTATATATATATATATATATATATATATATATATATAGAGAGAGAGAGAGAGAGAGAGAGTATTATAGAAATTTTACCGAATTGTAATGTTCCATGCTGACGACGTGTCGTGTTGCGCGTGTCGTGTTGAGTTGCTCAATTTTTGATTAAAAATACGATTTTTTGTAAAATAAAATTATTACAGACCTCAACAAATTCATCGTTTTACCCATAGTCTAAAGTACACTTATTCAACGATTTTTACATCAACGTAACGTGAGAAAGCGATAATAAATAAGAATATGCTAATACCTATATTCATTCAAAAATTCAGCAAAATATGCTAATTGCCCGTTAGTTACTGTATTAAGTATCTTTTTTCTGGTGTATGTAGCCTAGCTGATTTCAGATCGTCGTGCTTAACATTCAATGTTATACTATTTTTTAAATTATAAATTATTTATACGTTTATTTTTACGTTTTATTCTATAGGTATATATAGAATATATTCAAAATTCAACAACATGAGCCGGCATGTTTTCAAAAAACGTTTGAAACATCATTTGTTTTGACACTCGAGTGAAGCTAGCGCTTCTGAAATTATTCAATAGAGGCGCTCCACAAATCTTTAGATATCAATCAATCAATCAATCAATCAATCAATCAATCAATCAATCAATCAATCAATCAATCAATTTCGCGATGTTCAACAGCGCTCTTCAATGAATTTTGAAAACAGATGGGTCTTGAGATCCGCTCTGAACCTCGCAAGTGATGGAGAAGTAGTCAGAGAAATAGGTAGAGAGTTTCAGAGAAAAGGGCCAGAAAAAGCAAAAGCAGAATTGGCAAAAGAGTGTTTAAAACGAGTTAAAAAGAAGCGAGAACAAGATGACGATCGTAAACCGGGGCGTTTAGGTTCAATTAATATATCTAATAAATACATAAGAAATAATTTAGATTTAGACTTATACATAAACGTGCAAATTTTAAAAATTATTCTATATTTTATAGGTAGCCAGTGCAAGAGAACAAAATATGGAGATATATGAGAAAAGAAAGGGGCACGAGCCACTAGACGAGCAACAGAGTTAAAAGCCTTACTTAAAGGATAGAGTATAGTCAGGAAGACCATAGTAGAGCGAGTTAAAATAATCAATCCTAGATAAGACTAACGAAGTAACAAGAAGGAGAAGAGTAGGATCATCAAGAAAAGGCAAAAGTTTTTTTGTTCTACGTAGATGAAAGTAAGAGCAAGCAACACTATTAATCTGAGAAGAGAAAGACATAGTAGAATCAAAAATAAAATCTAGACTACGAAACTTATGAAAGACATCAAGAGTTTTAGAATCAGGTAAGATAATAGGAGGAATAGTAATAGAGTGTTTAGATTTATTAAAACAAATTAATTCAAACTTAGGAGGATTAAGTTTAAGACACATAGTCAGACCAAGCGATAATTGAAGAAAGACATAGAGATAGATTATGAAGAACACTATTGAGATTAGATGGAGGAAAAGAAGTATAAATTTAAGAATCATCAACATATAGTTGACTAGAGAAAGAAAAGTTATTAATAATACGAGGTAGTTCAGAAGTATAGAGTATAAATAGAAGAGGGCCAAGGATAGAACTCTGAGGTACCCCGAAAGTAAGAGTAGAGGAGTTAGAAGTAGAATTATTGAACACAACAGAAGAAAAACGATTACAGAGATAAGAAGAAAACCAAGATAGACAAGAATCAGTAATATTAAAAGAAAGATGTAGCAGTCTCGAGAGAATAGTATGGTCAACAGTATCAAAAGCCGAGGAAAAGTCAAGAGCAAAAAGAAGAGTAAGATTACTATTGTCACTAGAGAGAAGGATATCATTGTGTATTTTGAGTAAAAAAGTTTCGGTACTGTGAGCAGGTCTGAAACCAGATTGAGATACAGGTAGCAAGGAGTTAAAATTTAAATAGGATGACAGTCGATTAAAAACAACTTTTTTTACTATTTTAGAGATGAAAGTAATAATAGTAACAGGTCTATAATTATTATGATAGATAAAGAGGTAGAATCTAAGGATGATTTTTTAAGAATAGAAATAACAATAGAATTCTTATAAGAAGTAGGAAATTTAGAGGTGGAAAGAGATAAATTAACTAATCTGAGAATGATTGGATAAAATATTGAAGAAAATTCTTTAAGTAAATTAGAAAGAAGTAGATCTAGAGAACAGGTTGTAGACGACATAGAATTAATAATTTTAGTTAGTTCTAAAAGATTTATTGGAGTAAATACAGAAAGATTCAGTAGTAAGTTTAGTAAAGTTATGAGAAGAAAAATTAGAATTAGATGTTCTTAAAGAAGTAATTTTATTTACAAAAAAGTCATGAAACTGTTGAGCAGAAAAAGATGAGTGAGAGGATTTTTTTATGAAGAAGTTTAGATAGAGCAGACCACTTATTTTTAGATGTTGAAGGAGATGTTATAGAATTTCTAAGAAAAGTAGAGTGTTTAGAAAATAGTAGATATTTATAATTAATCAATTCAGATTCATAGATAGAATAAAGAGAGTTAGATGGATTTAACCTATAGGCTTTCTCCAGTCTTCTAACACTTTTCTTGGCTACTACACAAGCATGATCAAACCAAGGAGTCTTACGAGAATAAAGCCTAAAAGTAAAAGATTTAAGAGAAATAAGCTTATCAAGAATAGAAGTAATGTAGATATTAAAAGTATAGACAAAATCATCAACATCAGAAAATAAGGTAGATTGAAGAAATATATCTTTATTAAGAGAAGACCAGATACAGATATATGACTCCGCACTAGTCGTTTAGGTTCGAGTTATCAGCGAGAGCTCAAATTTGGAATTTAATGAATCAAACGCTTTCAAAAAACACCATAATTTTTTTATTTTATGATAATTTGATGTGCTCTTGGAATGTTTTGTAGAAATAATGCCTGGAAAGTATAAGAACCTCACATGAAAAAATACGTAATCAGCACTGTTTGGGCATATTTTTCATATCACCAATTTAGTCAATGAATATTAATAAATTTGTTATAGTAATAAGTAGTTGTAAAGATAAATTAGAATAGTCTGGTATAATGTTTAGTGCAGTGATTAAATTAAAGAATTTCATTTTTCTTTCATTTACATTTAATCTAATTCCAAAACACATCAAAAGTCCTGTCAAAACTTAAAAATCTGAAAAAGCATTTCCCCTAAAATTGTAATCGATGTAGAAGTGGAAATTTGGTTAAAAGTGCAAAACTGAATAGGGCCATATCCATCATATTCATTGTTCCTAAAAAAAACAATATGTTAAATATTTACATAAATACAAGCATAAAATTAAAATAACACAAATAAAGCTTGCCTTCACTGCACATGCATGTTGTGATTGACAACGAACGACATCCTATTTTGGTTTCGCAGGGCGGCTGACTGCCTTTATGTTTAGAGTTTAATTCCGAGTTGAATGAATTTTGTGTGGAAAATTAAATTGTAAAAATTGATTTTTTAACAACTTACGACACATTTTTCCCAGACAAAATCCATGATTGTTAAAACATTTGGAACATTCTGTACCATCGATGTACGGTTGAATTTGAAGATCATAATTTATTTCTTTCATGTTTTCCAAAGCGCTTTATTATCAAAACATAAAAACTAAGAAACATTATCATAAAGTTTGATAGTCAAGAGTTTGATGCATCTCGAGTATTAGATGGTCATTTATCTATATATCTAGAGTATCTCACATGGTCATTTTAAAGATGATAACGTGATTGTGTCTGTGATGCTTGATGCGTTACGAAACTTTACTAATAAAATACTGGATAATAAACACAAAACACGCTTTGCAAGTTTGCTAAAAAATTTTGATGTAAAAGGATGATGTTCAAAATTAGCTTATTAAGCGGAAACGCTGCAAAAAATTTATTTTCTAAAATACTTTGTTTAAATTGACATCAAAAAGTTAAACACCAATTTTTAAAAAAATTTTCAACTAATTTTAACCTTGGACTAAAAAGGCAAACAACAGAATAACACATAACGGTACATGAAGTCATTCGATTTCCATATTTGGGACAAAAAGCAATGTTGCAACCAAACGATAAGTACCTCGCATACACTATCTATAATTTAAATTGCAATTAAATATAAATGATTAGCATATACATTTAAATAATTTATTACGTTTTTTAGAATTATTTTTATATTGTATAATATAAATTAAATTATTTAAATTATGAACCTAGATTTCACTACATAGAAATTTTTGGTCCCGTAATTTTTGATCTCGGAATTTTCGGTCCCGGAGTCTTTGGTCCCAGGTTTTATTTTATAGGAATTTTCGGTCCCAAATTTTTTTAGTACACAAAAAAATGAGGATCCATGCCAACAATGAACAATGCAATTAAAAAAGTGGGCGTAGTTAATAAAATGCGTTAGATATATTTACATAACCTTCAGTAATATATCTCTAACCCTAACTAAATGCAAGGATATCATTACTACTATTATCACCTGAAAATTCATGAATACAATGCAAGCATTACTCAAATAATCCATTGTTGAAAACTACAATCACTACTTCATTTATGTGAATGCAAGCATGATCGAACAATTTAATTTGAGCTGCAGGTGTGGTGTAGTGGTTACGAGCGTGGATTCCGGGTTCAAATGTATGCTATGTCATATTCCAAAGCTTATCATGTAGTTCGAGTATGTGATGCGGTGAATAGCACGTGCCTCGGCACGACGTCTGAGCGCTGTTTAACGTCACGGAAATTGCGCTGTATAAATAAACTGACATATAAGTTTACGTATAAATTCTAAATAGGGGACCGAAAACTCCGGGACCAAAAACTCCTGAGCCAAAAATTCCTATATAGTGAAATCTTGGACCGAAAACTCCAGGACCGAAAATTCCGAATACCATTTATACACACATGGTGTCGGAGTCAGATAAATATATTTCTGACTCTAACTCCGGAAACAATTTTTCTACTTCGACTCTCGTATTCGGTTTCCAACTCCCGAAACAATTCTTCAACTTTTGCTTTAAAGTTTTGCTTGCCTAAAATACATTTGAAAATATTCTGTATATTTATTGTTTTTCTTAGGAAAATTGTTATGATTATATTTTGAAAAACTGAAAAATATTATTTATTTATTATATAATAAAAGTATAAATATAGAATATTTTGCATTACTGGGCGCATCTTTTTCGTGGCTCAACAGAAATTTTGTTGCCGCGTTGCAAAGATGCAAATTTAATAGTTGGCAAATTTTATGACAGCAATAAAATGAGAAACATTTCTACATCTTTTTGGATAGTAAAGTGACTGAATTAAAAATTAAGTATTTTTGTAATTTCAGTATTAATTTAATATTATTATATACAAGTTTCACTAGTTGTTAATCCCCGTCCAATTTTTGGCCCACCCTATAATATATAAAGAAATATATAAACATTTCTTTCTAATTTTATCCATCGGGTCTACGTTGAAACATTTTCAACGTTCAAATGTGTAGATCTGCCACTGCATGTGTGCGTGTGTTTGGTGTGGCATGGATATGTTTTGAACATTTGTGTCAACATAACATTTTAAAAAGTGGATGTTTGTTTTCAATTATCTTTAGACAAAATTTTATATTTTAATAAGTTTTTCATGATTTAATAATTATGTTACTCTAATTCTAAGGAGTATATTTGTGTGAGTGTAGTTTGTGAATGCTTTGTTGTTTGTGAGCTAAATATTTAATAATTTAAAATTTTAATTTATTTAACAGTTACAGTATTAATTATTTTGTATATTAATCTGTCATTTAAAAATTAATAATTCTCACACTGCTAGCTTTCAGGCTAGCCGCCTTTTGTTAAATTTTTCAGTTAAACTATACAAGTGAAACCAATTCCATTTGTTTCAATAAATATCACAAAAACAGTGAACATTATTTATTTCACGTTTATGCACTTGTGCTTAAATATGTGTGCACTATGTCCGTGTACGTTCATGTGTGCTTATTTCGATGTGCGCTCTTTCTGTATGTTTATTTCTGTGTACATATTTCGCTATGCGCTTATTTTGACGTGCGCTTTTCTCCCGTTGGAAAATACGTAGGTGCGCTTTTTTACTGCTATCCAACGAAATATCTTACTCCACTCCGTTGTTTCCACGCTTATCATCAATTTTAATTTACTTTTATTTTTTCAAATATGATAATATGATAATATGATGTGATAAATAGCGATAGCAGTGGAGGCGCTACTTGTTAATTGCGGCAGCAGTAGCGATAGCAGCGCTCACTTTTATGAGTAGTTTTTATAACCCTGCTTATACATTGTGTATGCACGCGCAAGCCCCGCATTATAAATGCATGGCGTATAATAGTCTGAGTTTCGATGCTGTAATGGTTAAGGTGCCTGGCATTGTTGGTGCAGTGTCCAGGTCCGAATGTAAAGAAATCTCCGCCGTACACATGCAGAAGTGTGTGATTCGTTGATTCACGTATGTTTATACACTGTGCATTTGTTGTAATAATAATAATGCGCCTCAGTCGCTTGCCGGAGTCGGATATTTGTAATCCAACTCCGACTCCAAAAAATGTTATGAATTTGAATTTTTTCTATATTCTATTCCGAAAATATTTTTTATGATCGTGTTTTGTCGAAAATAAATATGTAGCGATATGTCGAAAATACGGAAAATAAATGTTGATAACGTGAATATAATCGCATTTTTTCAGTATGTTTTGTAACGTTAGTATAAAGTAATTTTACTAAGAAAACCAATTAAATTGAGTCATTTTTGAGTCTTTTTTAGAATAATTAATTTTTCATTTAGTAGTGATATTTAAGTAAAATTGAAAAATTTTCCTGGGAGTCGGAACCCATAGTAGGATCACGGAGTCGATGTCGGAATTTTTGAGTGGTTGGAGTTGGAATCGAATATTTCTCATCCGACTCGAACACTCTGGTAGTAATAACATATAATAACTATAAGGTGAAGTTTGTTCATGGCATTATAGGAGCACAGGGTAGCATTAATACTTACCATTATAATATTTCTAGGTAAGTTATTAATAGAAGATATATATAAATAGTAATAATTTCATCTCGTACATACCTGGTGATAATCACAATTTTTCATTCCACCAATCCGCTTTGAACAATGTTTGGCGTTTCTATAATCGTAGTGTTTGCTACCATAGTCATAAATATTTTTGAACACGTCATCAATCAGGAATGAGTCATTTGCTTCATTTTTATGAATTGAATGACTGTAGATAAAGTGAACATATCAAACAAACAAATAAGCATAGACTAACCGTCGAATACGTTGGATATGAGATCGTAGTTGGACCCAGGGTAGGGTCTCATAATATTGTAACATTCTTTAGACAGAATAAATGCAATAGCTTCTAACGTATCGTTCCACTTCTAAATGACGAAAAATTCTTTATTATTTTTGAGGTTTTAAAAATTTTTAAAAATATAGATTTATACTTAATTAAATTAAAGTATTGTCTCACTATGTATGGGCTGAACATTAAAAACAGTTAATAATCTATCGAGAGATCTATTATATTAGACAATGGCGAACCCAGTTAATGGTGACACCAGAAAATCGTACATGAAACTCCTCGAACCAATTGTACACGAAGCATTACATATGCATCATTAATCAACAGACAAAAACTATCATATATCATATCATCTACTAAAAAAATCGACATCTTCAACATTGCTCCACTTATGAAAACTCACAACAAAGACTCTAAGTGTAAAAATAGCCTACCAGAGCTAAAACGCTGTAAAACAACAAAAGAAGAAGAAAATATATATAGTAACAGATGATTACGTGCCAAATGCAATTTATTTATATTTAAAATAATTTGCAGCCAAAATTTTTAGTTTCCAAAACTATTTATTTAATTTCTTGAAAATTATTCAGGTGCTATGATTTTGTTAACATCATCGTACAACTATTTGCAGAAATTTTTTTTGTCTTTTCAAGATTTATTAAAAAATTTTCAACCGGAGAAAAAACAGAGATATATAATCATACGGATCCTTTTTCTTTCAACAAAAAATGTTTAAAGTTAGTAAAACAATTGACTTTTGAAAAAATTTTTTAAAATTTTAAATTTAAAAAATTTTAAAACAATTGAAAAAAAACAAAGCACTCAAAAACTTCTTGTAAAAGTTAAAAAGAGGTATAGAGGTATACACTTTTAAAGTTCAAAAGAATCAGCAAGCATGTGATACGCTGGGATCACTTTTGAACTTGGTCACTTCATGCACCGCAAAACAGGACCGTTCGCTTTAAATCCTTAGGCCATCACGCTTTTGTTGTGAATCTTTTGAAAATCGGGACAATTAGAGCTGTTTTGTGTGATCAGTGTTATTTGTTTTATAATTGTTGTTATTATTTTGTTTATTTGTCCATAGATTCATCATCAATTTCCTCAAACACTTCCATCAATTCATTTCTCATTTCTTTAAAGTTTTTCTATTCTGTTTATTTGTACTTCAATCTCTTCCATTCATTATTTGTTGCTTTATTTTTGATTGTTATAATTATTGGAATATAATTATTACCATGGAGATCCTCCTCTGCCTCTCATTCAATATCTTCAAACACGCTGGGGATATCATAGCTAGGCCAATTGTGGATGATGTATTTGTGCGCTTATGGAACATTGTCGGAATAGTTGATTTGATGAGGCAAAGGTTGTTTTCTATTATACTTTTTACTAATTCTTTGCCTTGGGTATTTGAGCTTTGGCATCCCCATGGTTGGTTGTGTGGATAAAATCACCAACGTGGAGAAAAAGTTTAGGAATTTGTTGAATAATCTGTTTTATTTTTTTCAGATTTCATTAGATTGTTTTGCCTTATATACCCATTACATATGGCGAATGATTTGTTAATTGTAACTCTTAAAGCTACAATGTGTCGGTCGGTTTTTAAATGGTGAAAAGATTTTGTTACCTTGTAATGTACATAAATTGCTGTCCCAGCTGATGGATTTGTCTTTATTGGAGTGGATGCTTTGTAGTATGATGCATAGTTTTTTGAAATTATTTGTTTTTCCTCAGTTGTTTTGGTTTCTTGGAGACATATGCTGTGCGGTTTGCATTTACTTATTAAAATGTGTAGTTCAGGTAAATTAATTCTTATTCCTCTTATGTTCCACTGTAATATTTTGATGTCGTTGTAAGCATTTTCATTTAAAGAGTCTTCATAATAGTTATTTTGTTTGTTATCATTGTTTTCGTTTTTCTGGTTGAGTTCAATTTTATTAATTATTTTGTTTGTTATATTTTTTGTGTTACAAGCCATGTTTACCTCCGACGGGGTTTTTATTTTTGAGTGATTTGCAATTACTATTACTGGTATGTTTACCATATTCACTCTGATCATAGAAGCAGTCACAATCCATATCATCATCACAAATGAATCTGTTTTCATTAATATTTTTTTTGAATTGGAAGATTTATTGTTTATCTGTTTTGTTTTCTGAATTTTTGTTTTGTGTTTGTTTTACTGTCTCTATATTTGTTCTTTATTTGTAGTTTTGTTTCGTGCCTTTGTTTTGCGGTGATAGCACTTTGCATGTTTTGACAAAGAGATTCCCATGTGTGCTTGTGTTCTGGGTTTCCACACGTTTCCTTACTTTTGCAAATTTTGTGGTGATAACCGTATTTTTGGCATCTGGTGCATTGCATCGGATATGGGACGTATTTTTCTATTTTCAGAATTTGTCAGTACACTTTTATTTCTATTAGAGGCTGAGGGTTTTATTTAAATATAATTATATTTAGCTGAATTTTTATAAACACAAATTCTCCAATGTTATTTTCGAAAAATTTGTGGACTTTGAACACCGATTTTTTCAAACTCCTGACTGCCGCCAGGATATTGTGATTCTATTTCGTAGCACATCGATCTTCAGGTGCTGCTTTTACTTCTAAAGGCAAGAACACCCTCATTCTCTTCTTTTGTGGCTCCAGTTCTGTTTGACCAACCAGCCCACCAAGTTTGCAATTTAAATTACCACAACTGCAGATATTTCAGTTTAATTTGCTACTTCTAAAAATTTAATTTCAGAAAATTTTTAAAATAATTTTAATGTTAGTAGACCGAAAAATAGTTTTTAAATAATAACAAAGCTAGGATACTCGTATCCCTAATAATAATAATACCAACCAACCTTTTTAACAATAAACAAAATAATAATAGTTAGTTATTCTCAATAATATGCGGTTTCCCAAAACATATTTTATTTCTTGAAGTACGGAATAGTTTTCAGTTTTTGACGGAAGACGTAAATAAATCTTAATATGAAATATTTAGAAATGCCCTCACAGAATCAGCAAGAGAAGTTATACCTGTGAAGGAGATAAGAAGATGTCAGAAATGGATAACAGATGACATGGTATCTCTGATGGATGAACGAAGGAAAGTAAAAGATTGCAATCCTGATAGTTACAAAAAGCTGGACAAAACTGGAGAAATTGTTAAATGACAAATGCGAAATCATTGAAAAGATCCAAAACAATAATACAAATGCAATGTATAGAAATATCAAAGAAATCACTGATAAAAGGGCTTGTACCGTTTCTGGATGCATAAAAGCTAAATTCGGTGAAATAATCTTAGAGAAAGAAAAAGTACTTGAAAGATGGACTGAATACATTAACCATCTTTTTGATGATATTCGTGGTGAAAAGCCTTTTATCAAAAAAGACGTAGAAGGACCAAAGATACTTAGATCTGAAGTTCGTGCCGCTCTTTCCAAAATGAAATCAAATAAAGCGCCAGGTCCAGATGAGATAATTGTTGAAGAAATTAAATGTTTTGATGAATTTGGCATTGATAATGCGGCAAAATTCTTGAAGATAAATATTGACTTGGATATCTATTCAAGTCAATATTTATTGCATTGCCTGAAAAACCTAACGCAACGGAATGTGAACTACATCGAACAATCAGTTAGATGAGTCATCTTACAAAACTTCTCTTAAGAATTCTGATGATGATGTGAAGTTGTGACGATTGTGATCATAATGATTGCGCGATTGAAATATGCCGCCTGTATATTTTGTGAAATTGTGACGATTGTGATGATAATGATTGCGTCTTTGAGGCGTGCCGCCTATATATATCTATATATTTTACTAGACATTCTATGCATGTATATTTTGTTATTTAATATGCTATATATGCGACGCTGCTGTGCTGTTTTGTATATAGGGAGTATAGCAATATATGGGACGCGTGCGACGCGCTGTTCTGAGTATAGGAAAAGAGTATAGATGCGAGTATAGAATTTTCTATGATATAGAAAGCGTTATGTAGATAGGGCGGTAAAAACATATAAAAAGCCGCAAGTTGAGATATAGAAGGAGCGGGTCGTTTGTTATCTTATTTTAGGTTTTGTTTCTTGCTTGGTAGTTGTATTATTAATAGATTAATTTTGGATTTATCGTTTTTTTTTAATAAAGACAGAGGTTTGATTTGTATTATTTTGTTTGTTATTTTATTTCTTTTATTGAATAAAAGAAGTGTACACTTGAAGTTTGGCTCGGCTTAATTATTCTACCTAAAATAATGGATGTTGAAGAAGACTTGCTTGATAGTTGACGAGGTCGGCGTCTCTAGTCAACAAGCAGGGCGCGAACAAACTTCCGTCCGGCCCGTGTTTTCAGACCCTGAGAGGGTCTATTGTAGAGTGGCGGATCCCGGCCAGGAAAGACTCCGCCGAAGCGAAGGCTCGGGTGGATATTCGTATGCGGACGCGGTTCGGGACTGCGTGGTGCGGAATTCGAATGTCGCCCGGCAAAAATCCTACAATGAGAACACGAGGAAAAATTGGATCTGAAATTTCAAATGTCTAACGTGGTTTTGTAGATGGTTGTGGCACAAGAAACGCTATTTTTATGGTAAGAATGAGCGATTTAAATGAAAAAAGATTTGTTTATACGTTTTGTCGATTACTCCAAAGCTTTGGATAACGTGGAACACGTTGAGCTTAGGAAAATATTGGAAAATTTGGTCATTGATGAAAAAGACACAAGAGTTTTTAAAAACTTTTGTTGGGAAAACAAAGCGGCGGTGAAAGTTGGTAACAAGATTACTAGTTTTGTCGAAACAAAGAAAGGTGTTAGGCAAGACTGTGCATTCTTTCCAGACCAGTACAATCCGTATAGTGAGATCATCATGAGAAAGATAGATCTACCTTGAATATCCATTGGAGGCGTGAATATTAACAATGATACAGGTCTCATAGCAGATTCAGATCCAAACTGGTTTTTGAAAGTGAAAGAAAAAGCTTGCAAATTAACATCAACAAAACAGAGTGCATGATTATCAATAAGGGCAAAACCGCCCCGATCTGCTCCATAATAATTAATGGCAAACAGGTAAAGCAAGTCAACAGCTTCAATTATCTCGGAAGTCTGATTTTTTCAGGTTGTAAATGCGATATGGATATCAAAAGAAGGATAGCTATGGCAAAAGATGCATATTCTAAAATGAAAAACATCCTCACCAACAGTAAAATCCAATTATCATCAAAATTAAAACTGTTTAAGTGTTACATTTTTCCTGTGCTAACTTACGGCTCTGAGTCCTGGACAATTTTCAAAAGAAATGAAAAAAGATTTACGCTGCTGAGATGTGGTTTTAGAGAAAAATTATGAAAATTAGTTGAACTTCTCATACTTCGAATGAGGATGTATTAAAACAGTCTAGTTGTGATAAAGAGGAAATTACTACAGATAATCCGACGGGGGCAGTTAAAGTTTTCTGATCACAAGAAAAATAGGAAAATCTAACAACTACTGGAAAGATTGCGGGGGAAAGAGATCGCTGTCAACAAAGAATAACATTTGTGAAGTTCTTGTGTCATTTGTTTAATATCCCCACATTTCAACTCTTACAAAGTGTTAAAGACCGGGTTTTGTGGAGGTCGATGGTCGTCAATGTCCTGAAAGTATAAGGCACGAGAAAGAAACACTTCTTGAATAAATCTATCTGGTAACAAAACATTTCGCTTTTTTATTCGTACTCCAAACATAATATTTTCTCTAAGCATTCGTCTTCCATTCATTCGTATTGTACTTTTTTAAGCGGAAAACTGTAGACCCATATTTATTGATTGGTGTTTATATACTGTTTGACATCATTTTTACAACAGCTATGGTGTCTCATCTCGCATTTCAGCTTATTCTTTATACTTGTTTAGTGATAAAAATCGATTCTGTATGATTCATTTGATTTAAAAATCATAAGATTAAATCTCTGTTGGTTAATTTTTTGGCTGATTCTGATGATGATCTCTGACTTGTGTCCTATTTGCTTTCGTAAATCCATTTGAATGTTGTGTTGTAATAAATATTTTGGTTGATATATTTGGTTGATTTGGTCCAACAAATAAAATAAAACGAACAAATGAAACGATTGAAATCGAATGTTTTAAATGTAAAATTCTCACTAAAAAATTCATATCTGCAGCTGAAGGCTCATCTAAGTTTCCTCTATAGTGGTTCACGGACAAAACAAATGCTTCCTTTTGAAACTGCATGAGTGGCACTAGTGCTTGAAGATTAACACTATTGACATTCACGAAAATATAAAAAAAAAATATAAACATCAACATTTTGCAATGTTAGTTTGTTTTGATTTAACGGCGTTTCAACTCAAAATCAGCCAAAATTATATTGCTCTTTCTTTTTTCGGACACTTATGTTGTTTGTATATCAGTTTGTTAAATTTCCTAATACATTACTTTATTTGGAATAGTTTGGAAAATGTAATTGCATGTTTGCTGGAATATTATTTTAGTACGATAGTTAATATATTTGTTGCATTTTAGGATTGCAGTTGGCTATTAGGATTATTCTAATTAGTGTCGTTTGACAACGTCTCGCTAAATGTTTTGTTAGATCTAAGCCTTTGATTGGTTATTTTTGACATGGATAATAATTATAGCAAATCTTGTGGTGAGTTCCATTGTTGTTGACAGATGCGATGTGTTGGATTTGGATCGATACATTAGATAGTGACAACGAGTGCTCTATTTTTGCTGCTTCATCGATTTCTTCATTTGCTGAAATTCCAATGTAGCTTAGAACTTTAAGAAGTTTTAAATGATTTTGGTTGACGATTGATGAATAATGATATTTGCCAGTCGGTTTTTGGGTAAATATGGGATCGATTCGATTAAACTTGTGAATCTGTGATTATTAAGCATTTGATGTTTTTATAATTTCTAACGTGATTTAGTGTCATGTGACCGTTAATTTAGCAGTAAATGTCGGTAGTTGACACCTCATTGTTTGTTATAAACAGTAGCTTATCTAAAGGAGGCCGGAGTGGAGCACTGGCCCCCGTCTTAACAAGTCAGAAAAAGGACAGTTTTATGTTTAAAATTGACCAAAAATTGAACGTGCGTGATAAGCAAAAAAAGGTTGTCAACTACACTACCAAAAATCTTTGTCTCGCTCCCCCATAAAAATTTTGACTTCCCCCGTAAACAATTAAAATTTTTAAATTTTTGGTCCCACGTCAAAGCTGTCAAGATCCGACATTGGTTATAAATAAGAAATAAATAAACGATAGCCGCCACTGGAAGTGTGAAGTCATGGTTGTATTTGGCGTTTTTGAGCAGGTGATGAAGATTTGTATGTTTTCCAGATGGTTGGATGTTATTTCATTGTATTTGCTTTTGAATAATAATGAATTTTTGTTGAATTTGTGAAGAGAGGTGCCAATTATCAAGTTGTGTATGATCCATGGTGCTTCGTTTGATAATAAGTATATCATAGAGAATTTATATTTTTCCAAAAATTTGTAAGTCTTTTAATCTTTGTGCAGCGTTTACATCATTCAATAAAAAATTACATATTCATATTACGACTATTGTTCCTGAATTGTCGTGTCATTAATTTTAAAATAAAATGTTAAATAATTGTAAATGTTTGTTAGTGTTTTTAAACCTTTTTTAGGCTGCACCAAAAACAGTCAATTTTGAAAAGTTTAAAAAAGCACATCATCACGATTGATAAATGCGTACAAAACATACGAATGGCCAATTGCTGGAAGTCTTTTTTGTAAAATCGGTTTTGGAGTACGGTTTGAAGATGGATTTTGGTTGATTGGTAGCTTAAACAGTGGCGGATCTAGCGAGAGGCGCGCAGGCCCGTTGTGAGCGTTATTCGTGTTGAAAAATGGTAAAAGTCGTTTTAACGTGAAAAGTAGTGTTTTGAAGGGAAAATTGACATTATAAGCCCACCAGCAAAAACGTTAGCCCCCCGTGAGCACAGAAAAATTTTCAAAACAAATTTGCAAAAATCGACCCCCGGTGACCATTTTTTTAAAATTCCTTTCTGGTCCTATAGTGAATTTTGGAACATTATAATTTTTATTTTTTATAGACATAATGACTTTTTAGTTTTCGCCCATTTTTTACAACATTTATGTTATGTTTATTGTTAGACATCGGTTTTTAAAAAACACTAGATTTAAAAAAAATGGCAATAAGTATTTCTTGCTGGTTGAAAACTTTTATTTCATAAAAATTTTTGGAGAAAAATGCTGAACATGTCTAAATTTATAAGAAATTTCTTATAATTCCTAAACCGAAAATGTAAAGGAATGAAAATTTAAGAATAGTATATAGTTCATAAAAGTGAATTATAGTGATTTAATCATTAATGTAGTACAATCTTTTAATTTGAAAATAAAAACAGATAATATAAAAAATTAAGTTGAATTAGAATTGGACGCTAAAAAAGGTAAACAAATTTATAGATAAGGTTGCCATCCTGGAAATAGTTTGGACAAGTTTGTGGGGTCTATTGCTTGTTGAATAAGTCTACTGACGTGTCCCTGAACACCGAGTTGAATGCCGTCTACCGAACCACATAACTTTTGGTTTAATCTCAGTAACACTCTTTCGGCCATCTTGTTTCGAACATCTAAAACAAAACAAAAAAATGTAATCTATAATTATCTTTGAACTAGGCAATCATTTGTTTAACATAGTACAGTTCTGATGTTAAGGGGCACTCGACTTCACAAAACAAAACATACGGGCCACTACAAACCCTCTTCTTAGTAACTAATTTCATTTTAGTTTGTAGTTTGCGATATATTAACGACGTTCTTTTAAATAATAAAAAAAAAAATTTTAATAACAAACCGGGCTTATCGGTGAAAACAGATGATTCTAAATTGAAATTTTCAGTGGAAATGCTTGAGGGGATGTCTGTGCAGTTGGTGGATGGTTGATGTCGCTCAGCTTTCAATGGGGACATAGACCAATCATAGAGCGGATCATACAGGAGCACTTGAAGAATGGTCAGCAACACTTGCTTGTTTGCACGGAGGGCAACCATTGTCTTCTCACAGCATCTTCGTATCAACATGTAAAAAGATTTTGTGCAACCATTACAGAAAAACACCATTAAAGAAAAAAAACAGTATAAATAAAAACACGCACGTACGCGTTACTCACACACACACACGCACACGCACACGCAATCGATTCTGGTGATAATGATACTTTTAATATTAATAATGAACTTGTTTATAATGGTGGTTAGACAACAGTTAGGAACAAAATTTTTTGAAGCGTAATGTTGCAAAAACTTCTTTGCTTTTGAATTTTTTATAAAGTGTGTATAAATATTCACTCAATAATAATAACCATTGGCTTGAGATTAATATGTTAATAATTAAACTTATTGCAAATTAGGATAAGAGATTGAAAGTCAATAAATTTGACATTTTTACCTCCTGAATGTTCCTTCCACTCCAACAACTCCCATGCCATCAACAACATCTCGAGTCAGTCGAAACGGGATGGTTTCAGGTGTCGGCAGATTCCAACCCTGCTCAAATGCCACACCAAAATCTATGTGGATGAGTTCAGCTGTCTTCAAATCAATGAGAATGTTCTGAACGTGACGGTCTCCAAGACCGAGGATGTAACCAACTTTCGAAAACAAATAAATGTGAACTTAATTGAATTAAATTTCATGAAACAAATTGAAATAAACAGAACATAGCTTAACCATTCCTTAATCTCAAATTTCGTTGTGTTGTAATAATTGTTTTTTCATTAAGTTGTTCATATTATCGGGGTTTCGAATGAAAAATATCCGACTCCGAGTCCTCAAAAAGTTCCGACTGCGAATAAAAATTTCCGACTGTGAGTAAAAATTTACGACTCCGGGTTCCGACTTCCAAAATATTTTCAACTTTTGCCACTTAAATATCACTACTATATAGAAAATACTTTAAAAAACACTTAAAATCAGCCAATGTAACTGTTTCACTTAGTAAAATGATTTTATATTTCAAAACGTACTGAAAAAATTATGTGATTTTATTCACATTATTAGAATTTATTTTCAGCATTAAATACGACAATTGCATATTGCTACACATATTTATCTTCTAAAAAACACGATCATAAAAAACATTTTCAAAATAAAAAATATAAAAAAATTTCAAATTTAATTTTTCTGGGGTCAGATGAAAAATATTCGAATCCGACCTCTAAAATATCCAACTCACACAAAATCTCCTATTCCGAAACTGCTATTACACTCCCTCAATTAACTGAATAAGTGTTTTGATCCAAAAATATCGCACTTACTTTCCATTTCATCTTTGGCATTATTAACCTAAAACAGTTTTTTCTCATTTCTACTGAATCCATCGTTATAATAAAAAAGTTGTGCTACTTAGTAGACAAATAAAACGTGCCGCCTATACACAAACCGAAAAGAAATTTATTGTAATTTATAAAAAATAAAAGTTTTATATTAAGATTTCAAAGCATTGAAAACACACCAATCGAATTCGTGGCAACGCTCCTGGTGTAAGCAAGTTTCCTGTGGTACAATTCATCACAGGAAGCAAAATTTTCAAAGAAAAAATGCCTGAAAACTGGTTGAAACCTCTCACATATTTTCAGATAAGTATTCAGTTTTACCTGATCATTTGTCTCACTCTGTGCTTTCTGTGCAATCAATTAACCAAATAATAAAACAATAGCATTAAGTAAGTTATCAGCCAATTAATTAGTAACTGAATAAATGAAGACTAAAAAAATCAAACGAATAATCAACATCAATCAGCCAAAAAACTACACAATTGATAATTGACCAATCAATTAATTTATTCATCTACCAATAAATAAATCAAATTTTAGAAATTTAAATTAAAAAATTTCCCAAAATAAGCCGATATAATTCGATTTCCGATCTCAATAAATATACCATCTAAAAATTATGAAATGAAACTAGAGAAACATACAGTCATCATTCTACGACATTCCATGGGTTTTAGATCTTGAGGCCTGTACCTCATGTGAGCTCCATGCCCATCTGCACTCAAGTAATGACCAAACGTTGTCGTGTTGCTGCACCATTCAAGCAGACCACTGCGCTGAGACAAAGGCACAACCTGCTCGATCATATGTAGCATAAGAAATAATAAATTAATATTTATAACAATAAAGCATTTCATCTTAACTACCTAATTTAATATTATTTCATACTCCTTCTCATTTTTTTTAATTAATTCCGACGTGATAATTCAGTGGTCAAAGTGAAAAGTTCTGCGTTGCAAGCGACTGCTTGCGGTACAAAAGAGATTGCTACATGTTATATGCTTAAATGATTGAGGTCTCATATCTTATCCTAGCTTAACGTCAAAAAGTATCGTTGAATAATAAAAAAGACACCTTACACAACCATTACGAAATATAATGGATAACAACGCAATTAAATGATATGGTAGTAAAGTAGAAACAAAATAGATAAAAATAAAGATCAGTCACCTTATATGTTCTGATAAGCAGATTTCTTTTTGATGATTCCGCATCGTTCTTGAGGAAAGAGTTGACAGATTGAAAAACTTGCTGCATCACAGCATCCTGTCTCAAATCATCCCTTCCCTGAAATCATCATTTCATAATTAATACATTTCTTTCCTGTAATCATTATTTTGATAATTAATAATGTCAAACGACATTCGGGTTCCGCGTCACGCGGTTTCGACCCGAGCCTTCATTTTGGCGGACTCTTTTCTGGCCAGGAGCCGCCATTCTACAATAGACCCTCTCAGGGTCTGAAAACACGGGTCGCCGGAAGTTTGTTTGCCCCATGCTTGCTGACTCGTCAACTGTCAGCAAGTTTTAATCAACGTTCATTGTTTTAAATAAATTAATCGAGCCAAGCCAATTTTTATCTCCTTTCTAAATAATAAAAAAACAATAAATTCAAACCGCTTTCATTAGCACATACATACATCTATCAGTTTCCCGAGGTAGGACGTTAGCACATATATATATATATATATATATATATATATATATATATATATATATATATATATATATATATATATATATATATATACAATATTCTATAAATTCTACCGAATGTTTGGCGAAGTTCTGCGACCAACCGACGTCATCTAACAATCGAACAAGATCGCGAG